CTGCCTGTACATTTTTGTCCCACCTGCCTGTCCCTTATGCCCTGCCCCCCCCCCGACCCCGGCCTCAGTCTCATGATCCTTGACCATCATGGTATCAATCCAGCCTGCATAGGGACTTATAGTCTCTACAATGCATTAACACTTGTCAATTAGCTGCCGTCATTTAAAATTCAGGAGATGCCACGTAATCTTGGTGTACTATTTTTTTTTTTTAGAAAATGGGACAGTTTGGCAACACTGATTCCCAGTCTCTTGTGATGACAGCCAGCTGGAGCGGCACAGTGATGTTCCTTCAAAATGAGCACATGCTGTCCAGTCCATTCATTATACTCCCCATCTAGCCTGCCTTCCTCCCTGACAGTAGCTGACCTTTCCTCCAACTATGCAAGTTTGCAAGCCCTGCTTTATGGGCATCTCGCTGCTACAATCCCCCCTCCCACTCCCAGCCTTCTGCCCAGTCATCCCTCAAAGATCTTCTGTCTAATCCTTTCTGCTTAATTCTATAAAGCCTTCACCCTACTATAAACAAGCTCATCTTTTCCCTCAGCCCCATTTCACAATGTCTCTTCCATGCCCTTCTATTGTGGGTTGAATTTTGTTCCCCCAAAAGATATGTTGTAGTCTGAATCCCCACATATGTGAATGTGACCTTATTTGGAAATAGGGTCTCTGCAAATATAATTATACTAAGATGAGGTCATACTGGATTAGGGTGGCCCTTATAAGGAGAGAGAGGTTTGAAGACATGGAGGATACACAGAGAAGGTCATATGAAGTTGGAGGCAGAGACTAGAGTTATGGTGCCATGAGCCAGGGAATGCCAAGGATTGCCCACAACCACCAAAAGCTAAAAGAAACCAGGAAGATTCTTCTGGAGCCTTCAGGGGGATCATGGTCTTGCTGACACATTCATTCATACTTCTCACCTCCAGAACTTAGAAGGAATAAATTTCTGTTGTTTTAAGCCACTGTGTTCATAGTACAGTTGACCCTTAACACAGGTTTGATCTGCTCAGATCCACTTATACGTGGATGATTTTCATGAACTACAAGATAGTACTATAAATGTATTTTCTCTTCTTTATGGCTTTCTTAGCATTTTCTTTAGCTTAATTTATTGTAAGAATACAGTATATACTACATGCGATATAACAAAGTATGTGTTAATCTGCTGTTTGTGTTATCAGTAAGTCTCTGGTCAACAGTAGGCTATTAGTAGTTGAGTTATGGGGAAGGTCAAGAGTTATCCACGTATTTTCGACTGCATGGGGGTGAGGATCAGTGCTCCCCCATGTTGTTCAAGGTCAACTGTGTTTTGGTTGTGGCAGCCCTAAGAAACCATTACTCCTCTTCCTAACTGAAGATGGGATTTCCTCTTGAGATTCTCACAAGGGTGCTTCAAGGATTGACATTCTGTTGGTGCCAGGGGTCTGAAGATAAATAATGTGAAAGTATTTCTTGCTCCTTGGTCTCAGACTTTGACCAGAGAAGACCGCTGGAAGCACTAGGGCACTGTGAGAAGACCAGGAAGCAGGTTCTCTACACAGATACATTTTGGTGTAGAACTTAAGCTTGAAAGCAGACATTCATGAGAGCTATAGTTCCTGCTATGTCTCCAGCATTTCTACAGTTCTGACATAGAGTCAACATCTACTGCATGTTTGTTGAATGAATGAATGGGTGTTAGCAATTAGGGCCTTTGAAAAGCATGCCATTCTGGCTAAGTCTCTAGGTCTTGCATACTGACCAACTTGACCCAAAAGTGTGAGCTAGATGCATGGTTACTCCAGTTGAAAAATGTCATTTCTTTGAAACATTGTAAATGAAAAAGCAGTTTCATGATAGAAATATAGGAAAATTAAAGGGTAGTACTGAAGATTAATTGGACTAAGACCTACTGTTCTCAAATGATGGTTCTCTAATTTCTTATAATAGTTTTTATTAAACCAAATGTTTGAATATTTAAATAAATATTTAAATACACATTTAAGTATTTAAATAGATGCAGTTACAAAAAATGTGTTATCTCAGTCCGGGGAAAGGCAGCAGACATTCAAGACAAGAGGCCATATGGTAACAAGCAAAATGTGGGAACAAGATGTGCCTTTCCATCACCTGATGTGACATTGGGCACTGGGCCAAATGGGTTCCAGTCTTAACTCCTTGTCTAAAGTCAATCTTGGCAAATTGGAAGTCTCCACTAATTACCAAGAAATTACGAGTACTCTATTGATTTAGATGGTTTGTGATTTGGCTATTTTTCAAATACCTACAATTGCTTTGCTGTTACAAATTTGACACAACACAACAGCAGAAACCTTATTTTTTCACCAGCACCAAATTTTGGTAAAATGTATAAAATTTGATTTTCTTATAAACATCGAGTACTCCTAGTAACAAATGTTCCCCAAATACAGACCTTCAATTGTAGATTAATGTGCGTAAAGTAAACACATTCTACTTTAAGCAGTATTCAAAGACAAACAATCTCTGGGTCACTCAGAACTGATGTTTGCATAGAATGTAATCCCAGTGGAAAGCCATGTTTAAATAATAAAAATATTTTCCTGTGAAGTTTCTGATAAAGGCTCAACTCAAAACAAAATAACTCATATTTATATAGCTAAAACAGAAATATTTTTTAAATCCTTTTTGGGGGAGCACCTTAGTGAATTTTATTTCTTAATTCCAAATTCCTTTTGTGAACCCACTCTAAAAGCAGAGATTATCAATTGCTTCTGACTGAGGCTCTGGGTGTAGATAGCTGGGTCTCTTAGGGGATAGAAAGCATAGGAAGTGTTGGCTCAGCAAAGGCACCATGTTTCAGATCCCACACATGAGGAAGAGCAACAGGCCTAGACACTCTCCCAGGAGATGGGGAGGACCATCAGGGGAGGACCATCCCACTACACAAGCTTCTCCCCTCCTCTAAAAGAATCCTGCCATGTTTCATACCTGTTATCCCCCAAATCTCATCTCCATCCTGTTCCCTCTATGACTAATTCCAAACAAATTCTTTAGCCCAGTCCTTGGACCTTCCAGTCATCAATCAGCAAACTCCCCTGTGTCTTCCACTTCTTTTCTTGCCTTAAATGAGAACCTGGCTGTGTCCTAATGAAACTCTCTGGCCCCCAGCCCTCTCAGCCCTCCAGAATTAGACCCACATTCCTCTGGTGGCTGGTGCCCCCGGCGACCTGGTGCCCCCTCTCAGACCACTTTTTCCATATTCTTGATCCTGAGACGTTCCTGACACCTTCTCCCTCTCCTCACTGTTAACGTCTCCTCAACTTGTAGTCATTTCCCTCATTTTTTGAAGAATTCGACTTCTAGCCATGGAAACCTTTGCCACCCCCCACTGCAGCTCATTATCATTCCCTGTTGTCTCATATGGGCTTTAACACATGGAAGAGGCAAGAATATACGGTCAGCTGTTCAATGTGACTAATAGTCAAACAAATGCAAACAAAACCCTTCAGTTTCAACACTGTGGGGTTGGCAACACTTTTGATATGATGAGCCTGGTACTATTGAGTGTGTTGAAGATGAGGATACAGGACAATCTTCGCACACTGAGGAGACCATACATTGGTGCAGCCACAGTAGGAGTCATTTTGTACTAAAAGCCAGGTTGGAGATGAACAAACCCAAAAATAATGCCTCTAGTACATGTGCATGGAAACAAACATTGCAAAGTTGATTTCATTATTGTTTATACCAATATGACAACCCAAATGCCATCAACAGATGGATAGAGGGTTAACTCAGCGTATTCGTACACTGGAATAGTACATAGCGATCAAAATACACACACAAAACAATCAACACAGAAATTTGGGTGGAGGTTATCTCTGGGGTAAGAAACGAGATAGTGTGGCTGGGGAAGCATACAAATGGGTCTTTATCTATACCTATTATATTTTATTTATTATATTAAAAAAGAGGAGAGAAACATGAAACAGCTTAACCTGAGGAACAAGCAAGTTTTTTAAAATGAGAGAAAATGTCCAGTCAATTCTTCTTGGCAACAAGATTGGAGACCTGAGATGACTTAAGAATTTAGAATAATTGCTCAGCAATACAAATGCTTTCCACAGACGAAGAAAGAAAGATGTTTGGCTGTTATTCAGCTAATTGTATCGGTGTTAGACATCTAAGCTTAAAATTTGCATGCAATTAATTCAGGTGAGGAATCACTTATTCTTGGGTATTTAATATTGATCGCAATTACCAAAGAGCAGTCGGACCCCCACCACACTTTGTACTATATGGAAACAATCTTATGCAAGTACAAATCTCCAAAAGGGTTCAGGGGGGAAAAAAAAAGTAATTTGTTTCTACACCTGGCCTTACTTAAGGAGAGCAATGCTTTATTTATTCAACATCATTGTGAAATGAAGTGTTTCAAATAATTTTACGCCTTTAAGTGCCAAGACTTTTTTTTTTGTTCTTAATAATTTTAACCACTTGGATTGAAATCACTTTTAGAAAGCTGTTACACATGTGGATGATTTTTCTCCCCTTTCTTAATACAGAAGACAAAATATGCTTAAGGTTATCATGTTAACCTAGGGTCAAGATCAGTTAGGCTTCCTAATCTCATTTTGTCATATAATCCCAGAGTCCCCTTGTCCACCATTGTCTCCCAGAAATACACATGGTAGTGGCCCTTGGGGATGCCCCATGGTTGGAGCGTGTTTTCTCCAGAAAATTGCTCATGTTCATAAGCATTGAAGCCATGACTTCGGTCATCTTCCCTGTGCCTGAGTCACATCTATTCATAAACACACAGATATCAATACCCCTTTATGCCCAGGATGCTTCTGACTGATCTTGTCCATATTTCATAATTATCATCGCCAAAATCAATAGCAGCCATCTGTGTGTAAGGACGGTTGATCCCAGCAGTAAATGACTATAGGGCTGGGGGTTTGAGTTGTTGTATCTGTTTTAAGCTCATGTCCTCCTTTTCTTGCAGGGTGTCAGCCTCCAGCAATGGCTTCTCACTCCCCCTTCCTAATTTGCTGATTGTCATCCATCCAGGACTAAGAAATTAGGTAATGTATTCTAAAAGAACAAAGCCACTCCTTGACAGGGTAGAGTCTTTCCTCTGAGAGAAATGTGCAAGCCTGGGTGTGTGTGTGTCTATTTCTCACTGCATGTTATCATTTTGTCTCTGATATTGAAGTGAGAGAAGAGATATAAAATACCTTTAAAGTACTTGTTCTATTCAGAGTAAGACATAATCGATGTAGTGTTAGAGCCACAATTTGGGAAAATTGCAAGGCCTGAGGAATGGTTGGTAATTAAAAGGCTATAATGTTATTAAGGAAATCTAAAGTATATACTTTTAAAGAGAACAAAACAGAAACATTATTTGGAACTACTCACATTGTATTTGGCTTTTATCTATAAAACATTAAGAAAAGGAAATTCAGCATAATTCTTTCCTAAGTATGGCACCAGAAAATAGATTTAACATTTATAATTTTTTATACTTGATGATACATTTCAAGTATTTACATGTTAGAAATACTTGCAATGTTTGAGCATACATGATTTGACCCACGCTAACCCAAGTGCATGAAATAATATTTAAATGCTATACGAGTTCTAATGTATTTATGTGTTGGACACATGTGTTCAATAGGCCCATTTAGTGGGATTTCACTGAAACTCAACTTTATTTTTATCTCCCCAAGGCCCTTTGAAACTATTCAGTGAATGAAGTTTTGCCCCTGCACTAGATAAAAACTCAGCAGGTCACCCGAGTTTTGTATTCATTCTAAGGTAACAGACACTGCCATAGTCACTTTAACAAAATACAGTCAAATTTCAAAAATTAAGAGTCCAGGTCAGGACATTAACCAATACTCAATCTCCACTCCAGCTTACACGTGTACCTTATACTCATCTAGTCCCTCCTAAGGACAGGTACTGTGATTCCACCTAAAAAATGAAAAGCTACAATAATCAAAACAGCATGGAGCTAGTGAAGGAACAAGATCAGAATGGCAAGTCCAGAAATAGACCCAAACAAATGCAGTCAACTGATCTTTGAAATACAAGCAGCAGTTCAATAGAAAAAGAATAGTCTTTTCAACAAATGGCACTGGAACCATTAGATGTACACACACGCGTGCGCGTGCGCACACGCACACGAGCACACACCCACTCACACATGCACAAGGTGTGCACAGACCTTTTCTCTTTTACACAGACCTAGACACAGACCTTCTATCTTTTACAAAAATTGACTCAAGAATAGACCTAAACGTAAAACGGCAAAATACAGAATTTCTGGAAGAAAACAGTAGAAAATCTAGATGACCCTGAGTTTGGCAATGAATTTGTAAATACTGCATCCAAAGCAAAAATCCATGAAAGAAGAACTTGATGAGAAGTTAGAACTTACTAAACCTAAAAACTTTTGCTCTGTGAAAGACACTCAAGAGAATGAAAAGAGAAGCCACAGATCGTGGAAAACAAATCTCTGCAAAACGCTATCCGATAAAGACGTTGTGTTCAAAATAGAAAAAAATTCTTAAAACTCAACAATAAGAAAACAAACAATCCAAGTAAAAAATGGGCAAAATATCTGAGCAGACACCTCACCAAAGAAGACATATGGATAGAAAATAAGCATATGAGTTCAACTTTCTTTGTCATGAGGAAATTGCAAATTAAAATAATGAGATACAACCAAACATCTATTAAAATGACTAAAATCCAAAAAACTGACAATACCAATTGCTGACAAGGATGCAGAACAATAACAACACTTATTCATTGTTGGTGAGAATGCAAAATTGTAGAGCCACATGGGAAGACAGTTTGGCAGTTTCTTAGAAAGCCAAATATAGTTTTTTTCATACACTCTTACGTATTTACCCAACTGATTTGAGAAGTGTACGTCTACACAAAGATCTGCACACAAATGTTTATAGCACTTTTTTTTTAACATTTTATTTATTTTTTTGACAGACAAAGATCACAAGTAGGCAGAGAAGCAGGCAGAGAGAGAGGGAGGAAGCAGGCTTCCTCTGAGCAGAGAGCCCAATGTGGGGCTCAATCCCAGGACCCTGGGATTTTGACCTGAGCCAAAGGCAGAGGCTTAACCCACTGAGCCACCCAGGTGCCCCTGTTTATAGCACTTTTATTTATAATTGTCAAAAACCGGAAGTAACCAAGATGTCCTTCCATAGGTAAACGGATAACTAAACTTTGTAACATCTATACAATGGAATACTATTCAATGATAAGAAAAAATGAGCTATCAAGACACAAAAAAACATGGGAGAATCTTAAATGCATATTACTAATTGAAAGAAACCAGTCTGAAAGGTTATATTCTGCCTGACTCCAGTTACATATTTTTTTCTCACGTCTCATTCTGGTAAACAGCATTTTGTATCTTAATGCCTTCGTTGAAACTTCAATGTTAATGTCCTGCTATCAATTTATGTAAGAATTTATTCATGGGCCAAGAAATATTTATCCATAAGATAATTCTAAACATAAACCTGCTAACTTTATATGTTTACATGAGCCAGATTACAGTTGACCCTTGAACAACCCAGGTTTGATCTGTATCCACCACGTATCCACTTACACGCAAATTTTTTATGGTATGGTATTATAAATCTATTTTCCTTATAATTTTCTTAACATTTTCTTTTCTGTAGCTTCACTTATTGTAAAAATGTCATATATAATACATGTAACAAAATAGGTGTTAATTGACTGTTTATGTTATCGGTAAGGCTTCTGGTCCACAGTAGGCGATTAGTGGTTAAATTTGGGGGGAGTCAAATTTATACCAAATTCTCTGCTGGGCAGGGGTCGATCCCTCTAACGCCGTGTAGGGTCAACTGTAAAAGCTCCTCAAGGGCTGTAATCACATCTTCTACTACTTCGAAGCATACATACATACACAAACACATTCTTGCATGAAGAAATGTCCTTTTTATCCCAAAATCGACTCAATAAATCCTGGTACCTGACTTGTTGATGATATATCTGTGTATACTTAATTCTGCAAAAGCAATCAAGCTTTTGAAGCCAGAGCTTGAATTTCTGAGTTTCCAGCTAAATCACGGGTTGATTACTTGAAAAGCTGGCATTGGCTAGTACAACTCTCATTAACAGAAAGACCCAGATCAGACAGTCAATGCTGAAGATCAACAGGATGACCAATGCCACAGTCAGAGCCAAGTGAACGTGCAAAGAACTATCATAAGACCCAGGTAAGATATTATCTGTAAAATATAATGTGTAAAATTACCATTTTTAGTTGAGAGTTTAGCCCCTCTAGAATCAGCAGATACGGAACTTAAAACTCAGGTGAAATGCATCATTTTCACCCACAAGCTAGCAAACCAGCTCAGCTCATCCTGAAGTATATAACAGTGGGACCTCGGTCTTGGTTTCCTTGGGTCAAAGGGAGCTCCAACAGGTTCTAAACAGTCCCTCTTCCCTGGGGGATGAAGTTTTCCCTTTATAGCCCCTTCTCTCACAAGGTGTCCCAAATTCTTCACCTTCTGTTCACAAGGCTTGCAGGATGCAGGACTGTGGGACCACCGGTTGTGCATAAGCAGTGGGCGGATTCATGGATGACAAGGACTGACCATTGGCTCCCTCCAGAATGCTCCCCGAACCTGGGTGTCTTCCCCTCCCCCTTTCAAACACGTCTAACTCTCTAATCTGCCTAGTCCCTCCACCTCCTCTTCCCTTTCCCCTGCCTCCAGGCTTACTTTGCCTTTGGGGGTGGAAACTCTAACTAAATATAAGTTTGCAGGGGAGTCTCCTCTTCCTGAAATAGGCCAGCAGCTCTTTTAATCTTTGTTTCTGCTTCTGTGTGGGAGGGGGAAGGGAAGACAGCCCCCAGGGCACCAGTGAGAGAGCAGAGGGAGAAAGATAATACTAAACTTAGAAAACACAGATTTAATACTGTGAGATATAGCCCTGCCATAAATGCTTTCCTACTAGTATCCTTTCCTCTTCCCAAAGTCTGCTGTTCCTAGTCACCTTCCATGTTGTGTTCTTAAACAGCAAAATGGTTTGAAAACAAACCGTGACAGTGTGAAAATATTTCACCAAGGCAGACAGCAGAGCTTAACAGGCAGAGCAAAGGTCTCTGCCAAACAGGAGTATTTAGTAAGTTAGGCTAAATTGAGGTTATGGTCAGGGGCAATGAGAAGGGGAATCTTAGTCTAGCAGAACTCAGGTCAAAACTGATGGGCAATGACCAGGAAAGGAAAGCCTCATAGGTTGAGAGAAGGCGTGCCGAGTGTCCTGGCAAAAGTGATGACCAACACAAGGTAGGTGCCTTTTTCCTGACTTGGCTGTGGATGTTAAGGGACGGTTACTCAAGTTTTGTAGCAATCACTAGTCCTAAGAGAACGAATTAAAGCTCTAGATCCTGAGTATTTGTACTAAACCAATCCAAATGGATGTAGATTCTAGAATAACTCCAGAGATGTTCTGATACTGTAAGCCTGCTCTGAGGAATGTTTAATTGACATGAGTTTCAGAATGCTTGGTGGGTGCTGAGCCTACTCTAAGAAGGCTAACAAGAGAAGGTCAGGCCAATAATCCTTTTTTTTTTTTTAATTGCAGTACAGTTGACACACAATCAATAATCTTAATCCTAACCCTCAACTCTTACCTCAAAGTGCGTGGAAATCTATTAAGACCTGGGGACTGTCTTCCCCTCCCCAACCAAGTGGCCTTTTATAATTTGCTTTTGATTAAGATATTGACGTTAGGAAAACTTTGTGTCTTAGAAACTTTTGTCGTTTCCTGCTAATAAAGGTATCTCTAAATATTTGTCTTAGAGATGCCTATATCTCTTTTAGGACAAACCATTTGTAAAGGGCTTGTAATTAGTATATTACTCTGTCTCCTCAACTCTAACCTCAAACTGGATTTGCATATCACATCTCCACCCATCAGCATGGTTTTAACCTGAGACCCAAGGAGAGGCCCTGGGAAGCACTAAGCCACCTTCCCGGGCCCTCCAGGGCTTTGTCTCTCTAGTTTGCTGGCAGGAAGGAGGCAGAGAGAGGGGTCTTTCATTGAACTGGTCTGGGTGCTTCCTCTCCTCAAAGGCTGTTCCTTTTCTTGGGGTGACACCCACTAGCTGTAGACACCTCCCATGTGGTTGGTCTTCAAACCCCTGCTCTTCAAAAAACCCATGTGGGAGCTCTGGCTGCTCTGACTTGGGAGACCCGACCCTGCCTCCACCTCTCCCCGCCCTTTTCTCCCTTATCCCCACCCCTGCCACCCACAGCTTGCACCTGCAGAGGACGAGCAGACCCTGTCACAGCACCATCCCCCCCTCTCAGAGGCAGCTCTTTTAAGTGACGCAAGCGCGCTTACCTTCCAGGGTGTTCTCCAGGCCCATAGGAGGCACGTGTGTCCTCACCACAGCCGTACCTCTCAGCACCCCCATCTCCCAGTCCCCGTTCCGCTGTTCCAGTGAGATCAGATGGGACCAGCCAGCACCCGCTTGGAGACCAGGATGCCCGCCTCCCCTTCTCTAGCTTCTACAGGTAATTTCCTGGGCTCCTCTGTGTCACTGGGCTTGAGGAGGGGAGTGGCGTACAAGTCCTCCTTCCCTTGCCCAGAGGACAGAGAGGAAATAACTTCTCAACACAAATACTGCACAGCTATGGCTTCTGTTCTCTCTTTCTTCACTCCTTAGTGTTCTTGTATAGATGTGGGTACAGGAGGTGGGGGATGCGGGGCTAGTGGCTGGTGGCTGGTGGTAGAGGGACTATTCATTGCTTCCTAGTAAGCCTAGAGGAGATGGCTTCCAGGGGCTTCCACGAGTTGGTGGCTCTCTCCACAATGGCGGATAGTTCTCACCTGTTGCTGTCAGCGGTGGGCCCTAGCTCTCATTCGGGGTATCAGCAAAAAGATCGCTCACAGACTTCAGCAGCCTTCAACAGAAAAATGCACAAGCTTTAAAACAAACAAACAAACAAAACACACACAATATTTTCACCACAGAATCCAAGGCACAAATCTGTCAAGGATGAGAGGGACAATGCGTCTTGTTCATGTACGTGCAGAAATCCTTTCTTGTCTGAAAAGTCATTGTCTTGGGAGCCAGTCAGGAAGGAAGGACTGTTTGCCCAGCTGAAGAAGGCAAACAGCTGCTTGGCAACAGGGAACAGAACCCCAGGGCTTCAGGACCCTCCCATGCCTCCTCTGATACCTGAGGGAGGTCATGCTCAGAATTCCTGAGCCCATGGAGAATTCAGTCTCTCCTCAAACTCCAGTCCCCACTTAAACCCAAATTTGGTGGATAAGCCACTAATTGGAGGACAAATCTGAAGAACATAAAACACAGACAATTCAGGTAAATCTGAGGTAATGAGATCATTATCAATAGAGAACAGGATATTCCCTCTGTGATTTTCAGAGTAGACCCCTGAGGCGGTGTGGGTCTTATCTTATAGCCCGATAGAGAGAAGAAAGGGCTAGTGTAAGAGGGCTGTCCTCTCCCTTCACAGCTCCGCATCCCCATGGTCACCCAAAGCGCGATGACACTGATGATGGCTTTGCTTTCCTGGCTGTTCACTAGGAGCAGAGGGCGGCTAGAAGACACACACTCCAGGAATGGTGTCCCAACAGCTAGAAAACACACTAATCAGTGCGTGGCCAAAAGAGCCATTGAATAAATGTTTTTAAATGAAACTGACTTTCAAAATTTCATATCAAACAGAGGGCCCAAAAATATGAAGAAAAATACCAAGCTAGATACACAATAGTCACAGAGAGAAGTGCCCAGGGCTGGTTAACAGGGGCAGGAGGACCATCCTTGAGTTGGAGCCCTGGCCCATGGTCTGGGCGCTCTGCCTCCAAGGGCACAGACAATTAGAAGCTCAAGAGCAAACGAGCGGGCTCACTGTCTTCCACCAGCCCTGCACTCAGAGGTTGGGCTCCCCAGCCCTAGGAGCGGGAAGGCTCACCAAAGTCCCCTCTTGGAGAAAAGATTAGAAAAGTTCTCTCACCAGAGCCAGCAAGTTGGCAGATCGAAGCTACCGAAAACTGAAGTTTGCTTGGTTTGATCTAGTATCTAACCAGACAGTGTTAATAAAGGAAAGCTACAGTATCTTGCAGTGTAACAGTCCTGCATCAGGTCGCTTTCTTTATCCCCATTTTATAGATGAGCAAACTGAGGCGGGGAGAAGTTATGTGACTCGCCTGTGTTTACATTGTTTATAAGTGGAGTCAGGTCTAAATCTGATCCAATAAATGTAGAGCCCGTGCTCTTAACCACTTGGTTTTGCTGTCTCTCCTGAACAAGAGAAGAGTTCCCACCCCGGGACCACCCAAAGAACAGAGGCCTCCTCCTGAATGTGCTATTTCCTACTCCCAGTAGCCCCAAAGGACAGGTGGAATGAGTCAGGGGGAAAAGAAGGAGAAGTTGGGAAATGGCCTCCTTCTTCCAGGCAGTCATGGAAGGAATATATAGGTTGACTTCCAGGGTTTTCAGGAAGGAAAGAATAGCATTCCTTCCATCTCCCTGCAGTTGCCCACCCCTCCACCCCCCCAAAATCCTCGCTCATAAACCCAGCTAGAGCCAGCCCTTTGGCGAGTGACTGATAGGGTTGAAGCACCACCTAGTGGCGGAAACTGAAAATACACCCAAGGGATGTCCCTTGAGAACCAGAGGCAAGGAGGGAAACCGTGATCTGTCCCAGGAAGGAAAAGGGTACTAGAAAGTAAAAACTACCACCGCTCAAAGACTTTCTGCCTTCCCTGTAGCCCATAGCCACACGTCATTAAAAGGCAATTTTTTGCCAGCCTGTGAAAGGGTTTACCCAGCATATTGGGAAAAAAGAAAGAGCTAGAATCCAGGAGACCTAAACCCTAGACCTTGGCCATTTACTGTCCAACAAATGGGAAAACTGAGTCTCCTAAGATCTCTCCCAAGGACCGTGGCCCCCTGCATATCTGTGGGTCACATTCAGCATCTGAGGGAGACTCAGTAGAGAGGTTAGTGACAACGAAGGAGCTGGGAAAGAAAGGGAACATGGGAAAGAGAAGGTTCTTTCTTCTCAAAGAGGAGTTTCTGCTGAGTTTATGCAGAAAGCTCCAAGTCACAGATGGGAGGAAACCTCCAAGTGATAGATGCGAGGAGAGCAGAGGGCACGACTGCAGGAGGGACCCTCCTTCCTTGTCAATCCAGGAGTTGTTAGTGGGTGTCCATCCCTTGTCCCTTACTTCGCACATGTTAAGGAGCCTTCCAAGGAGACCAGACCAAGTGGGAGCATAGCTGCCCACACGCCCCTGCAGGAGAGGGTTTGGCAGGTCAGCTCAATGCCCCCAGCAGAGCTCTAGTGTAGATCAGGCACGTGGAAAGAAGGAACAACTAGGAGGTCCAGTCTGAGGGAACGGGATATAGGGACATCTTCTAGAGCACTGAGCAGTGTTCATGCCAATTTGGTGCCTGGTACAGCAGAGGCTGATAACTGGTGAAATCAGTGCAGAGAGGTAGGGCCCTGGCCCAGGAAACCAGCCTGCTGACTGGGCTCCCTCCACCCTGCCTCTAGAAACTTAGGGGATGGAGAAATTAGAAGCAAGCAAAGGATCAGACAGGAGAGGTCTGCACAGACCACAGAAAGCAGCTGAATGCAGTGTCCGTCAATGCCAGGTTCAGCCACGGTCCGTCTACACAGATTGGTCCCAAGGCCATTTAGGTTAGCATTGAGCTTGGTGTAATAGACTCTTTGACTCACAGGACCCAAGGTTCTGGTACATTTTCTCAGGATAAGTCTCCAAGTGATCATTTTAGTCCCTGGACTTTATTATATATATATACCTACTCTCAGGTATCCCAGGACAAGCCCAAGACTCACACCAAAGCAGAGGATAATACTTCCCCTATTTGAGCCTTGAAAGTTCTTGCCCTTTGGCACGGCTGAACTGGCATCATCCACCCCTTCACCTTCCTGTTAGTCTCTCTGCTTGAGTTCCTGAAACTCCAGACTCCCCCGACCCCATTCTCTCTCGTCTATTTTGGTTCACCTTTATTTTCATTTTTCAGTGTTGTTTCTATCACTTCGGTAAAGCGTGGCTTCTTCACCTGCTATTCTAAGCTGAGCTCAGGGCTTAGTCTCACCAGTGGTCCTGTGGCCTTACTGGTCAGGGATGTCCCATCGAGAGCCTCTCCCATCTCCATCTGGCCCCTCCCACAGCTGCCAGACCACCGTCTCTCCCTATTGCAAAGGCTGAGACAACCAAAGAGCTCCCTGAACTCATTCCAACCTGAGAAGTCACCCCAAGGCCATCATCTGTTTGTCCTACAGAGCTGGTTTGCATGCCCTGAGATCAGCGAATGGATGAGCCTTTCTCTGTAGAGGTCGATGGCATCACCTACTTGTATATGTCCCCGCCTCCCGGATTTGTGTGAAAGACTAAAGTGCTGTAGAAAAGATCTTGAATTCCACTGGCTTAAAAATCAAGTTCACTTCTCTTTCATGTTACAGTTCAGAAAAGTGGCAAGCCGTTTGCTTCACACAGTCGTTTGAGGACTCTTCTAATTTATTTCTTCCCCATGTTTTTGAGAATTCTTACAGATTCAGTAAATATTTGAGCACTTGCAATTTAAAAGGTGCTGGGTTATGTTCAGCAGGAGACACAGTGTGAGCCTCAGAACTCATGATCTAATGAGATGACGAAGCTAGTCAATGAAGAAGTGTGTTCAGAAAAGAGAAACTAGAATCTGTAGAATTTGTAGAATCTGTAGGAATGAAAGGAGGGAGTAATCACTTTCCAATCAGAGCAATGGGAAATCCTTCACTGAGGAAGCCTACAGGCTTGAGATTAGAAGGACATACAAAATCTCAGGAGATAAAGAAGAGAACAAAATTTCACCAGGGCAAGGACAGGGGGAGAGAAAGCTTGAAGGTAATGAAACATGGAAAAACCAGGAAGCAGTGAGCATGAGAGCTTAAGGTCCAAACCCAACAAGATTCCAAGGGGGAGGGCAGAGCCCCTACAGAGGACCAGATGAGGAACCTGTCCTACATTGGTGAGCTATTGGGTATCTTCTGGGATTTGAGGTTGGGGATGAATGATTATATCTCTGAGGCTGGTTGAAATTGATGGAGTGAAGGGGTAAGCTGTGAGTGGAGAAACACCCACAAAGCCAACACAACAGCCAGGGAGGAGAAAACAGGCTGGAACAGGCTAAAGGTACAGAGAAGGTGCCTGAAGGGAACCCACAAACGAGGCGGGACTGACAAGACCTGGCAACTGGTTGAACACACAGTGCACAGTGTCAATGACACACAAAATCATGGAGTGTCTTGTAGTCACTGGCGCTTAGCGTCAGTGAAATAGGATACTTTGTCCAGATAGATGCAAAGACCTTCTAGATGCTGCAGGCTATCAGGAACTCCCATGACCCCACCCTTGG